AATAACTATAGCATTTGTCATTGTTTCATTACCATTGTATTTTTCATATTTCATTCACCAATGGTGACATGAATAATGAATTAAGTTTGCATAAGGAGAATAGTACCATCGGATTGTGAAGAAAGGAAAGTACTATGTAATTTAGTGGACTGAGTCGTATATTGAATGTACGCGTGGTGCGGACACGACGCGATCGAAGGAGACGGCAGTAGTGAGATAACGCCTCCGTCGAGGGGTGGAATAGACCTAGACTATACTTTCGTTAGCCCAATATAGTATAACTTCGATAACCCACACTCAGGATTGTAATTTTGGTTCGGTAGACGACAGTATGTAACGAACCTTCTTGTAAAATTCACGTTAAACAACTCAGTGACCGGCGAATTTCAGCCATTCGTAGTTCGGATCGTTTAGGACCGTAATCGGGGAGTGTAGTTGTCCCTTGTCTTGTAGGTAATGGACTCGATTAATGACTTTTTTGTTGGTGTTGGAGGACAGAAAAAAAGAGTGGGTTGAGTAATCTAGATCGAAGACGACCCGCAATAAACAAGGGCAGTTAAGTTATGACATCAAGTTTTGGCGCATGGAGGTGTACCCATACGGTATTAGAAACTTCGAATAAAAATCTTCGGCGGCGATGAAGTCAACAAAGCGCGTACGCAGGGTGAGACCTCCCGACACAACAGGAAGAGGGGACACTTGCTTTGCCGAAGGCCAAATTTTTTATTATTATTTGTTTTACTTTGACCCCGTGTGTGTTTGCCGGTCTGACGGTCTTCGACAACAAGAGGAGGAAGGACGGGCGAGAACAGGCTACCACTTCACACAGTAAGATCCACACACCACAACACACCCACCCCTTCGGAGCGGAGAAGTCTTTGTCTCGCTCCCTCTTTCACCTATGGTTCCGACCTGGTGACTTTGAGGTAACTCATTTATTGTATCCGCAAATAATTAATAAATTTTATTTTTCGTGTACAGTTACACTTTTTCCACTTGGCTTATATAATGAAGTTCAACGGTTAACACGGTATATATATATTATAAAAAGAAATTATTTTTTTTTTTTGTGGAACTTTAAAGTCCCATCCCGCGGCGGAGCACCGTTGCGCGTCGGGGCGGTTCTTGTTTACCATCCCCTTTGTGGACAACCTACTATAACTTTTTGTCGGATGCCGACTAAAGTGGTTGTTTTAACAATCCCCCATAACTCATCGACAAAGTAAGAAGTACTTAAGATTGTGATCACACTCAATAAAAGTTGACGGTAAACGTCGTAGTTCATACAAAGACGGTTGACAATAAAATACAAAGATATACACGATGAAAGGAAAATGTTTAATTCTTTTTTCACTTAAAAACCCCTTTTTATGAATGGTACCAGGATTACAATGGGATTTACTTTTCACAAGTCGTAACAAAAGTCACCACACGACTTACAAAATTTCGTCATACAGGATTGACCTCGAAGGCACAGGAGTTAGGAGAGGTCTCACGAACCCAAAGATGTGGTTAGCCAGAGAGTAGTAGGAGTACTTGGACAAAGACAGACCATGTTGTTGTTTCAACCGTGATCTGTCGGGTCCTCGGAAGGTCACGGAATACTGGAATAAGTCCTTCTTTTCACTGGCGTTGCACTCGGGACGTAAAGGGTATAGGGAGTTCAGAGTCTCTTGTAAAGTGTATAACATAAGGATGTACAGTTGTATTTTGAACTACAAAAACTTATCATGAAGATTACGAGGCCATTGTTTTACTTACAGATCGATTACTTCAAAACCTGGCCAAATTTCGTCAGGTACCTTGAGATACACACGTACATTTTACGACCTTATATTTGGGGTGATTTTTGTCAAAACCACCTAAAGTCAATAATTTTGGTCTAGGAACCTGTCTAAAATTCTACTATTAGATTGTTAATTGGTAAAGTATCTACGTTAAGTTAGTGTACATTAAAACAACATATTTATGAATTATGTAAAGTTTGAGGGCATTAAATTAAATGCAAGGGAAGTCGCAGGGGGTAAACAACAAAGAAAGACGCAAGGAATCTCCTGTGGTACAGTAGTGTGTTGTTATTCAAGAAGGATAAAAGGAGAGGCAACCCAAACGCATTTACCAACAGGTATGCACGTTTTCTAGTAAGATTAGCGTTTTATAGTATTCGTTTGTATTCGGGACGATTCGTCGTACCGGATATAGACAGGTTTGTTTTTCCGTTCTTTGGGTTAGGGTTCGCAATAATTGGACGTCATTTTGTGATGAATCGTCATTACTTTAAGTCGTTTTAAACTACTATTGCTGACTTATTACAAATAATAGTGAGATGGAAAAAAACTTTAAATAAACCTGTGGTACCGTAATCAAGGAAAACCGACCAATATCAAAAGTTTCATTTTGCAAAAGGGGCAGTCAAAGGAGATGGACCCTCTTACACGGGATTCACAACGAAAATTTGTTTCACGAGTGACCTCCGATTACTCGACACCCTTACAAACCCGAAAAATGCACTATTGGGCTAGGGAGCTGGGCCCATCTGTACGTTAACGTATTATTTTCGTACGGATACTCCCACGTCCTAGTCAGGGTGGATTTATTCATCGTAAATTCGTGAAGGCCCCTGGAGCAGGAGTATAGTAATCAAAAACCCGTTTCTACGTGCTTTATACCAGACACCATGTGTTCGTTCTAAAAGTTCAAAAACCAAGAGCTGTCCAGCCGTTTGGACGCCGGGTAGCTCGGCGTACGCCGGGAATTCGGGGGAAGACCAGACGGGGGGAACTCGAATCTGTTTTTTATTCTTCTTTATTTTCAATAATTTAATAAATCCTGATAATATAACACATCGTACATTTTACCAAAGGCATAGAAGGATAAATTCCACTATGGACAATTGGTGACTAAATTAATCCCAGTTGTTTTAACGCAGTGTTAGGGAGCTCCTCTCTCTGCTCCAAAGGATAAAAAAAATCTGGGTGCCCCGAATTTTTTTTTCGAGGGTGCTACCCTTGGCAGCACCCTGCCAAGGCAGTAAACCTAGGGGAAACACTGATCCATATATGTGATCATGCTAATTAACGCTAATGAAAGCAACTTGTACTAAATATGCCAATTGCCCAACATTTGTACGTTAGCATTCAGCAGTTTTTAAATGCTGGGAAAGCATACCATACATTTAAAAATGTTAAATATAAAATCACTGATGCGGTTTGTTAACAATTGTTTTCAGTTTGAATTTACAGGAAAAATACACCCATTCACTATTTAAGAAGGCAAAAGGGATATAATAGGATCTCTTTTAACAAAATCTCTAAATAAATGCAAACACTATTGTTTTTTCAACCCTTGAGATTACATTTGAGGTTACAGTTGAGATTACACTTGAGATTACTAGTATTAGACAAATATTTTTAGCAATAAAGCAAACATGACCCTGTCTGTACAGCAGGAAATAGAGCGCCGAGGCCAGTAAAACCAGCCTGCTTATTCATGTGAATGACTGTTCATTATAAAAGTTAAATAAATATGGTTGGTTCCTTTTGAAAGACAGCATAAAACAGGTTTACAGTATTTTGAATGGTTCTTTTAATCTTAATCAATTACATCTTGAAAAATGTAACTTTCTACAAATACAAGTAAGATGGATAAGACTATTACTGTACAATGCATGCATTGCATGCATACAATACATACAGTATTGTATGTCATTACCATAATGACATACAATACTGTATGTCATTATGGTAATGCCAATAAAGCTATTTGAATTTGACAGCAACAGAGAGAATGTCACTGAAGTAGAGGCACAACCGCTTTGTTGCCATAGCAACAGGTTCAGGTGCAGCGTGACTACAGACTCTAGACACAGGCTGCTCAGAGCTCATTAAGGAAAACAGCCACTGCCACACATGAGTAGAGACATGGTAGAGACGCTTTGGTTTGGTAACACATGATCAAATGAGCAGACAGACCCTGGCACTGAACACAATCTGAAGGAGTTTATTTTTTACATTTGACCTTCCAACATCTTCATTGAAGTGCTACATTATGTCAACATCAGGTTGAGGAGACTTCCTGTATTATCTATCAGAAAGTGATGTTGGCCTAGATCAGGGGTCGCCAACGCGGTGCCCGCAGGCACTTAGTAGCCCGCAGGGGCAACGCGAGTCGCCCGTGGGGCATGTTCTAAAAATAGCTCGCTGAGCAAATCCAAATTGTATAAAATACACAAAACAAAAAAGGAAATGTAATTAGAATCTACCCTATGCATAAACAAAACTTCAATCATAGCGAACTCTATCTACTTACTACAACTATATATCTATCTAACACCTCTCCTCCCCCCACCCCCACAATGAATATCAACCAATCACGTTCTTGCTTTATTTGCGGGACCAGCGTTGCAGTCGGGAAGAAAAGCAATGTGCAGCGGCACCGCATGGCGTAATTTCCACTGGGGACAGGTGGGACATGTCCCCCCCCCACTTTTCGAAATCCCGTTTGTGTCCCCCCACTCTACAAATATGTTTATTATTATTTTTTAACGCAAGACGTCATCGCCACGGAGGAGCACACAGCCACTGTGAGCGAGCGAGCGAGACAGAGGGAGAGAGAGCGAGAGAGAGAGAGAGAGCACACCGTTATCTATTTAATATAGCCTAGTTGTAAGAAATAAAGTAAGAAATCATTCCAATGTGTACTATAGGACAGTAAAATAAATTAAAAAAAACAGTTTAAAAGGAGAGCGATTAGTAAAATATGCATAAATAAAAAGAAAGAATGCTAACCAGGTAACATAAGATGAGAATAAATAGGTTTAAATTATTTGTTGTTGGTTGTGATCATATTCTAAAGCTGTTTGGATTATTGAAAAGTATCCAGCTCTCTTTCATATGAGTGTTGAGAGCTGTAACCATAAATTCATTTTGCTCTCAAAGTGCACCAAATTGATGCTTTTCACTTCAACATTTAAAAAAACATCTTCCCGGGGGTGCATGCCCCCAGACCCCCCTAGAGGAGGAGAGGTCCACCCCCAAATAAAACAAGGTTCAAATAATTAAATTGCATTCATTTTCTTTTAGTAAACACTGAAAACGGGTCCCACAGACCCAAACAGCATACAAAGGTTAAAGGTCAGCATAACATAATGTGTAATGTGCTAAATATGTACACTGCAAAAAAAGAAGAGGAGTAAAAGTAGCTCACGACTTGTTTTATTTTTTTAAAGTAGCCCTCACCCTAAAGAAGGTTGGAGACCCCTGGCCTAGAACAGCCTGCCGGGTGTTATTTTCCTCATAATGCACATTATCCCTTACGTATCCCCTTCTCTCTGCAGATGGACCCTTCTGACATCAAGGCCGTCTAAAGAGGTAAACAGCTTTGTTGTAAAACAATGATATATTTTTTATGTTATAGTTTAAAAAAAATCTAAACCACAGAAGTATATTTTCAAAATGTAAATACTGAACCACAATAATTAAGAAGATTTTCACTCTACACACAAGTGCAGCATTAATCAACCT